GAATATCAAACGGAGTCCAAACGGAATGAAACCTTCGGGAACGTGATTTTCTCAACAAACAAGACCCGGGAGACTTGCACCCTATGTCAAGGCACAAAAGAGGAGGCCACGAGGTAGGGGCGCGCCTACCTCCCCTAGGTGCGCCCTCCACCCTCGTGGGCCCCCTGTTGCTCCACCGACGTATTCCTTCCTCCTATATATACCTACGTACCCCCAAACGATCAGGGACGGAACCAAAAACCTAATTCCACCGCCACAACTTTCTGTATCCACAAGATCCCATCTTAGGGCCTGTTTCGGAGCTCCGTCGGTGGGGGCATCGATCACGGAGGGCTTGTACATCAACACCATAGCCTCTCCGATGAAGTGTGAGTAGTTTACCTCAGACCTACGGGTCCATAGTTATTAGCTAGATGGCTTCTTCTCTCTTTTTGGATCTCAATACAATGTTCTCCCCCTCTCTTGTGGAGAACTATTTGATGTAATCTTCTTTTTGCGGTGTGTTTGTTGAGACCAATGAATTGTGGGTTTATGATCAAGATTATCTATGAACATTATTTGAATCTCCTCTGAATTCTTTTATGTATGATTGGTTATCTTTGCAAGTCTCTTTGAATTATCAGTTTGGTTTGGCCTACTAGATTGATCTTTCTTGCAATGGGAGAAGTGCTTAGCTTTGGGTTCAATCTTGCGGTGTCCTTTCCCAGTGACACTAGGGGCAACAAGGCACGTATTGTATTGTTGCCATCGAGGATAACAAGATGAGGTTTTCATCATATTGCATGAGTCTATCCCTCTACATCATGTCATCTTGCTTAAGGCGTTACTCTGTTTTTAACTTAATACTCTAGATGCATGCTGGGTAGCGGTCGATGAGTGGAGTAATAGTAGTAGATGCAGGCAGGAGTCGGTCTACTTGTCTCGGATGTGATGCCTATATACATGATCATACCTAGATATTCTCATGACTATGCTCAATTCTGTCAATTGCTCAACAGTAATTTGTTCACCCACCGTAGAATACTTATGCTCTCGAGAGAAGCCACTAGTGAAACCTATGGCCCCCGGGGTTTATCTTCATCATATTAATCTCCTACTACTTAGTTATTTCCTTTGCTTTTTACTTTGCCTTTATTTTACTTTGCATCTTTATCACAAAAATACCAAAAATATTATCTTATCATATCTATCAGATCTCACTCTCGTAAGTGGCCGTGTAGGGATTGACAACCCCTACTCGCGTTGGTTGCGAGGATTTATTTGTTTTGTGCAGGTACGAGGGACTTGCGTGTAGCCTCCTACTGGATTGATACCTTGATTCTCAAAAACTGAGGGAAATACTTATGCTACTTTGCTGCATCATCGCTTCCTCTTCGGGAGAAACCAACGCAGTGCTCAACAGGTAGCATGCTCCTCTGCCTTGTCATTCCCTGCTCCGAGGGAAACCTCAGGTCTGTGCTCTTTCGGATCGGATGATGGTGGTGGGCCGCGTCGTTCCCCTCTTGTAGGCATCATTTCTGGAGTAGGGGTCAGCTGGGGGACCAGTGTTGATTTGACGGTGGTGGTGGTACGACCGGTTTGGGGTCGACGGCGGTTGTTCGGTGCTGTTCTTTGGGGTTTGGCGGCGGTGCCATTGGCATCATGGGACGGCCATCCGTTTTCCCACTCGCGAAGGTGTCTCACCCATGTTGTTGGCTTGCTCAAGACCCTCCCATGGCTGCCGATGTGTTGCGGTGAGCTCCGTGCTCTTGGTGATGTCCGGTTCTTCTTTGCTCATTGATGGCGCAAGATGCCTCCCCAACTTGCTAATCATCCTGTTACCGTAGTAAAGGTTCGTGTTTAGTTGCACTCGTTGTTTATGGATGCTTCTGAGTTGTGTCGTGGTCTTGGTACGCACGCCAATTCGGTGTGTTAGGCTGCTTGCAAAATTCGAGTATTCTGATCCCTCGACAACACCCCACATCTACGAATGTCTTTCATGGCGATGGTCTTTTGTCTACTAGCTTGGTGTGCCCTGTCTGGGTGTTGCTTGTACGGTTTTCGGCCCGGTTTCCCTCATAAACGGGGTCACTTTGTTTAGGTTTTCGATCTGGTTTCCCTTATAAACTGGATCAGCCAACGCTTAAGGGGAAACTCTTGGCTTCGCAGCTTTTGAGCAATATATTCAGATGGGGATCCCCCCCCCCCGTTGACCGCTCAAAAAAAGCACATGCACCAGCATCACAACACACATGCGCAGCAGCAGCACAACACACATGTGCGCAACAGCAGCAGACACACACGCATACACGCGCGAGCTATGAATTGCCCAAAATCCTCCAAATTCGTCACCAGCAATGAGAATCCGACGTAGGCAAAGGGTCGCCGGAGTTGCGGGGTTGTTGGGGGTTCCATTTTTCTGGTCACCGGGGAGGCGGACGGTCGGCGGTGTGAGTTTTGACGGCGACAGACGGGAGGAAGAGACGTCGCACATGAGAGAGGAGAAGAAAATTAATAAAACTCGGAAGTGGCATAGGGCAAAAATAAAAGACTTTTTTTGTGAGAAAACTTTTGATCTATTCATCAACTGTCAAGGTAGTATAAAGAACACCAGAAGTAAAAATTACATTCAGATTCATAAACCACCTAACAATGACTACAAACACTGAGCGAGCCGAAGGCACGCCGTCGTCATCGCGCATCCCTAATCGGAGCCAGAAAAATATTGTTGTAGTAGATAGTCAGGAAGTTTTTGTACTAAGACCCAATAGGACCACACGAGAACATCAACCATCGTCGATGAATAAAAGCGTAGATTAGAAGGATCTAACCTGCAGAAACACATATGTAGACGAAAAACGACCGGATCCAAGAGGATCCACCGGAGATAAATGTCGATTGGATCCCACAAGAACCTTATTCCATCTTCAAAAACCCGTTGCAGCCTCGTCTTTTTTTAGCATGGCACAAACCCTAACAATTCAAAAAGGCACCTAAAAAATAAGCACCATAGGAGACGAGGCGGATGGGCAAAAAAATTAGGAAAAAGCTACCCTTCAGCCGGCTGATGTATGTGTAGCGTCCGCCGCCTACGTAGCCGTTGGATAGTTCGGATGGAGCGCTCACGCTGTCACAAGCCCCGCGTAGTCATTTTTTTTGCAACAAGGGTCTTGTTTCAGAAGGTTCCTATAAGAAAGATCTTGTTTCGAAAGAAGAAGAAAATGGTCCAATGGTGAAGATTTTTTCCCGCGACATGGCTCTTGTTTCAGAAGGTTTTTGCAACAAGGGTTTTATTTCAAAAATAAAAAATGGTTCTCTCCAATAGAGGTCTTGTTTCATAAATATAACCCCAGCTGCAGACAGCGTTGGAGGCTGCAGTTGGAGGAGCGCTCAACTTTAGAGCGTGAGAGGTCAGACACTGCAAGATGAGGCATGTTTCAGAAACATATCCCAGATTGCAGAAAACACCGGAGAAGCATCCGACATGAGAGGTCCTCGCCATGGTGCTGGAGGAGAGGTGGCAGTTGCTCATGATGCTGGGGTGGAGGAGGGGTGGCAACTCCAACAACCGGAGGCACTCCATGGTCGAAGCGCTCGGACCATGGCGACACAGCAGCTACGTCTCCAGCCTAGGGTGTGCGTGTCTTGGCCAGTTATTGTCTCGGCGGACCATTGCAACAAGGTCTTTGTTGCAAAGCTCTTGAGCGCAACAAGCTAGCTGTTGCAAAGGTCCTCGACTGGCTGGGACGGTAGATCGATGATTGTTTTAGGCGGCATCTGACGGTTGCCGAGGCGGCTGATCTAATCAACTGATTTTCCGGCGGACGCGTGCCTAAAAAATTAAGAGACTTGTGCTACTTTTGGGAGGCAACTCCTAAAATTTTTACTCCTCTGAAGGTAAGGTTTGAGGGTTGGGCTAGGTGCAGTGGCTCTTAAATTTACTCCTCTAATTCTTAAAGTTTTTAAGAAATCAACTAACAACTAGAGATGCACTTAAATTTACTCCACTAATAAGGATTTCTACTGGATCAAGATGCTCTAACTGGGTTCAAAACTTCAAATCAAACATACCTTAGAATACTACTGGCGTAACGTGGCTGCCACTCTGGCTTCATAGAGTATTGTTTAACCATGTGCCGTCACTTTGTGTCAGTTGACTGTTTGACCGTCATATTTAAATACTAGTGCATCTCATTGCTGAATAGACAATACTGCTCCCACGTGACATTCATTCAGCTCCCCTCATGTCTTCATTTTCCAAAATTACAAAAATCAGTTGCCTCTGAATTCCGATCCCCAAATTCTAAACCAGAGCGCTATTTCTACGGACTGAAAATGACTTCCATTTTATTTGCTCAACTGAAACGATTATTTCATACGGCTATTAAAGCTTATGGCATAAAGTCAACTACTCCCTCTGTCTCAAAACGTAAGACGTTCTTTTGACACTATAGGAACAACAGAGGGAGTACGAAAGATTGGCTCTTCACTGGCTTAGTTTCATCTCATCGCAAACAAAAGGAAACGATAAAGAAACAAACCCTTGTGTTCAGCATGATGTAGACAGTCAGGCTACATTTATGTTCATTTACAAACCAAGCAATAATGAATGTTCTTGTAACAACAGGTTACATCACATCACATCAACCATCCTGGACTCACTACAGTTGCTCTTCTAATCTCAAGAGCGAGCACTGCACTGCAATTGCACTCACTAAACTCTGGGAAACGCCCGCAAACCTACGCTAAATCAAGCGGAACTCACTCAGTTATCATACAGACAGACAGACAGACAGGATCATCATCATCATACAATTACCAGCCCTAGGCATCCATCAGCAGCCTACACAGGAACTCAATCAACATTTATGTGAGCCATCGCCTACGACTGCACAACTCGAAAAAGGTCGGGAAAAATAACAACACAACCAGATCGGAGGGAGAGGATGGTGGGAAGGGGATGCTACAAGATCTTGGAAAAAAATCAAGTTGTTGATCAGCAGGGGGCTGACGCTGCGCTGCTAGGAGTTGTTGATCAGCAGGGGGCTGGTGCCGTTAGCTTGTCTATGGAAGAGGAAGAGCGACACAGGCATCGCCGGAGACAGCATATTGGCTACACATTCAAACTGCAATGGGATGGGAAACACAAATTAGCTGTCAAGTGATTCTAAAACTGTATGAATGTATGGCTTGCACAGAAAAAGGATTCATGTGGTGTTCTGCTTACAGAACTCAAGCAGCAAGTGGTGATTGTGGCATACCTTTTCCTGCCGGTACTTCTCGCGTATAGCATTGAGGGGGGGACTTCCACTGGTGTTGCCCTGCTGCAGCTCCCATAGATCGCGTACGCATCCTTGAATATCGGAACTTTTGTATGAGGTGTAATGCTCGAGAGTACAGTTCTGCATGAGACATAACATATATTAGAGCAAATAGAACATGATGTACAGAGGTCTGCATCCAGAGTGCTCATACGAACCCATGGCAGGTCTGATTGGTCGAGTGTCCATCTTGCAAGGAACACTGCTGAGGCTGCCACCACCGAAGGGTGAAATTTCAGGAAACTGTAATCGGTCAAAGTCAACTCCGCGAGATAATTGCCCAGATAGCCCAAAGTTGCACAAGGAGCCTGCAAATGTAGTTTGGGAACTTAGTGATCATCAGACGCCAAACATACAAATTAAATGAAAACTGTGCTAATATGGTTGGATGCCAGTCTTACTTTTTGAGAAGCATGTGCTGCTCTAAGGAATCTCCTAATAAAATTTCAAGGAAACGCTTGTCAGTGATGTCATATTGGAAAAGAAATAAGATCTGTCTAGTCATCCTGTTCTGAGTAACTAACCTCAGAAACGTTTTGATTGTGGGAACAGAAAGATGAAACCCCAGATCATTAAGCACTTCGCACTCCATTTTCAGCACCTATGGAATCAGGATGATATCAATTATGGCAGATCAACAATGACATTTCGCATGTGTAATTAACAATCCTTCAAACTTCACATGTAACAAGTACCTGATTTTTTGTATATGTGTTATCAGTTATGAAACAAAATTCTTCAACACGAGGCGCACAGATCTCTTCATATTTTCTGCAGAAGAAGGTAGATCTTTAAATGATTCTACTGACATATGTCACTGGCGCCAATGGCAGCACAAACAATAAACATAATTCATGCATTTGCCGCAAAGTAAGCTCCTTCAGCAACTAGGCAAACCTTTTCATGAGACATCTTCCTATCAATTTCAAAGCTTTTGATGTTAAAATATTAAAATCAAACAAATGTGAACTTACGAGGCAATCAGCATGCTAGTTATTCCAAGAAGTTGTAGTTTCTGTCTTTCAATATATTTCCGAGAAAGAAATTGGTCAATAAGATATACAGTGAGGTACAGTGTGTCTGGCACAAGTTTATATTCCTCAGAAACCTGCAAAGATGGAACTTCATAAGCTAAGAAGTCATGATTCATGAACAGTGAAGATTAAACTTGAACAGGGATCTTGATTTGCTGCAAAAGAAAATGCAGGTTTCCCATATGCATGTGAGAAATGTAGAGTACATTTCTGGTGCTGAAGATCACTGTCATCGTATTCTGACTTCGTCACTATCACAGGGCCTCTGTGGTTTATGTGTTTATTTTCTATATATACATACAGCACATGTTACCACCACAGCACGAGTTTGACCATGTTGCATTTGGCTCAGTTCAGCAACTTATGTGGTGCAAAAAGAAAGGATGGACACCACTGATTCAAACTTCTCATATAAAATCCTCCATCACCACTGATTCAAACTTCTCATATAAAATCCTCCATCACTAACACCATATAGTTATGAGATTTGAAAGGGAAATGAATAACTACGTGGACAGGGATGTAAAGAATATTTATGTGATCTATTGAGTCCAACGAGGTCGGATGTGTAAACCTTGCACTCTATTCCTCTCTGAAATGAATGTGCAAAGTTCCTACCATCCGTAAAAAAAACACATTCACGTGTATTTAATTTTGCAAGTTATATACATCAATTTGTATGTAAAGTTGTGCAGTTAAGTGACAATGATGATGTTCAGTCTCAAAAACATGGTTGGACTATTTATGCATAAATTTAATCAGAAGCAATATATACAAACCTCAACAAGCCAATCAATCAGGATTCCTCGCATGCCCTTCGTGATATCCCTTTGCAAAGTCTCCATGTAATTTGATTTAGGTCTCCTTATAAGCTGGGGAGTAACATGAGCATATAAGATGGAAGCTGAAATGCTTTCAGAAAATAATTATAGTGAAGGAAACACAAACATCCAAAACTGAAATTCTTCCCAGCTTAATAAGGCATGTAACATATGAGGAATTTAAAAGTCTGTCTAAACAGTAGAAGAAGCTCTTCCCTTCTACAACAGAATATAAACATACCTCTGCAGCCATCAGGTTTCTGTATATTTCTGCAGCATAGGAAGCACACATTTGTGGATTGCCATTATCTTTGTCAATGTCTATAACGTTTAAGCCAACATAGTCCCCTGGAACAAAGATAAAGATTCTTTAGATGCTGCCCAACAAAACAGAATACATAAATACCTGCAAGTTTCTCAGGAATGCTCAGTGGACAAAATATTTACAATATGCTTTTTTGTTTTAAGTTTTGTGGCCACATAAAGACCATAAAGATTCAAGAATATACTCAGGATACGACCAGACTGCCAGCAAAGAAGTGCAACATTACAAGCAAAGAGAAGCTCCGAACAGTTTCTCAAACTTCTAAGTTCTAACCTATCTTTAAGTCCATATGCTAAACGGTAGAGAGAGAGAAATGCAACTTAACTAACCAGTGTTTGAGTCAGCAGTTTCAGATTTATCTCTTGTGTTTCTTCCCTGAAAGAATGGCTCATGAACACCACTCTCCCTGTTCCGTGCAATATTCCATAATGACAACGATCCCTTGTTTTCGAGCAGAGCAGTGGGCTCCTCTTTTGGTGGCAAAAGCTCTGCCTTCTGAGTTTCTTCCACGTTATGAGAATCATTCACAACAAATGAAGTTCCACTAACAGTAGGAAGAGGTGGCTTAGGGGCCTTCTTTGCGCACTGCTTGTTTTTGCTTCGATTTAGCCCTACCTTTTGTGTGGGCCTTGACTGGAACAAAGGAAATACATTCTAAATTAGCTGACATCAGGAAAAGGTAATCATCAAAAAATCATACTAGGATACTGTAATAATATGTGGAACATCTTGGTACCTGTAGCTTAGTCACAGCAGTGCCATTTCTGAACGAGTTTGCACAGCTTATGTTTGTCACATCCTTGAGCGCTGCTCGCCTTTTAGGAGGTGGAGCTGAAGTTAGAGCACTTGCACAAGTGTTCTCATCCGAAGCTCCCCGTTTCGCCTTTCCTTTAGTCACCGGTTTTCGTTCAGTTCTGACAGGTACCGGTGCTGGGTGAGGCACTCCAAATCTTCCGCGATTAGCAGCTTGAGCTCGTGTTACACGGCCGTTGGGAGCTTGGCAAGCAATAAGGACTGCATTATCCTTCCTTGCAGCCATTTAAGCCTGAATGGGTGAAAATGAAAATAGCATTATGGATTCATGCACTGAGCAAACAATATAGCAAGAAGTAGCACTGCAAAACTGAAAGGGGAATAAGACTAGGGTCTAGGATGTGCGTGAAACATCATGCAACACTCTGTCTTAAATAAACAAGTGAAGGTACAAGTTTACATTGGGACACATCATTTCAACAAAATTACTTTCTGGTGTTGCATCCATGGACAAAATAATGAAAACCCATATTCATGAAACCCAGTTCACAAGATGCACGACTCGAATTATATCTAAGTATATGAATACAGGTGACGTTGTTCTTTTTGAAATTGTGGAAAAGGTAGTTCTTTCTGGTTCTGGATAAGCTTAATGCCCTGGATTGCATTTTGTTTCCACTACCACATGTCTTGCAATAAGAAAATCATGTTGACCGCGTAGAAGAAATGTGCATCTATAATTTGATAGATCCCCAAATCATGTCCTTCAGGTAAGTGAAAAAAAATGCAGAAAGGGCAGCCGCCATCAAACTTAATACATAGCCAGCACTAAAGCGCATCCAAATAATTAAAATGTGGGTGGGGATGAGCAGCACGAGGATGGCAGCCTCGTTCGGCGACGAGGAGCAGGGGGGAGGGGGCCGGCGGCGGGTCGGCCCCAGTTCTTGAAAAAAAGAAAACCCAAATCCTTTTCTTGGAAACAAGAAAGCCCAAATTCGGCGACCACGGCGCGCAAGGAAGGATAGCATCTATGGGGGATGAGTGGAGAAAGAACTCACCGGGCTCGGGAGGGCGGGGCGAGAGGAGTCGCCGCCGGCGTCGATCTGCCGAGGCCCGAGAGGAACGACCAAGAAGAGACTGTACCGCCGTCGATCTGGCGGCGAGGGGGGATGCGCCGGCAGGCGGCCCTGGGGGAGGCTGGCCGCCGTCGCTGGA